CCATAACCTCTACAACCCCGGCACCCTAATGCACGCCTTAGCTTATTAGGCTGAGGCGCATTACTAATCTATAATAACATATTTAAAACAGAGTAAATAAATAAGTAAATAAATAAAGCGGAAATAGATATCATGGTTCAGCTTTATTTATTCATCTATTATTTGATAAGGTGTAGCCTCCCCTTAATTAGGTAGTCCCCAAACAAATGAAAATCAATTGTGCACAACCAGGGCTGTGGGCACCACAAACGAAAACACGACAGACTGTACACGCGCGGCAACAGCCGCGACACGCGCATACTCGCTGATGCTGGTTGTTGGCTGCTGGCTGATAGCTGTGTAGCGTAGCCCATTTAGGCAATATAACTGGCTGCAGCTGCTGGCTGGTTAGATAACGCTAGCTACCATCCACAAAACCCAGCGACGACAATAAAACCGGCCGGTCACCACCAACTGTCCACCAACTGTCCACCAACTGGATCAACATCTGCCAACCTCTTCCAACCAAACATATCTCCAACGGACAACTTCCACCATGACAACCATATTTCTCGACCCGATCCTCCATATCTTTGGACTCCCTTATTTTCCTGCTTTGAACTAGTCCTTCCGTTTGCAACGAATGTCGTGGTTTGAGCAAGGATGTCTCCCTTTTCATCTTTCTTTTGTGCATGGTAGGTTTGAATTGATATCTTCCTTTATATCTTTTGTCTGTACACGGTAGAGTTTGGCATCAGCCAAACTAGGCCGTAGTTGTCTGAAGGAAAAGGCCGCGGTGGCAGCAACACCAAAGGTGAAGAGCCGCAGCGGCGGCGGGGGAGGAGAAGTACACAGCCAGAACAGCAAAACGGCTGTCACGGTGAGAGGAAAAAGGCCGCGGTGGCAGCAACACCAAAGGTGAAGAGCCGCAGCGGCGGCGGGGGAGGAGAAGTACACCGCCAGAACAGCAAAACGGCTGTCACGGTGAGAGGAAAAAGGCCGCGGTGGCAGCAACACCAAAGGTGAAGAGCCGCAGCGGCGGCGGGGGAGGAGAAGTACACCGCAAGAACAGCAATTTGCTGTAGCGATGAGAGAAAGGAAAAAGGCCGCGGTGGCAGCAACGCCAGAGGTGAAAAGCCGCAGCGGCGGCGGGGGAGGGAAATGCACCGCAAGAACAGCAATTTGCTGTAACGATGAGAGGAAAGGAAAAAGGCCGCGGTGGCAGCAACGCCAGAGGTGAAAAGCCGCAGCGGCGGCAGGGAAAGGTAATGCACCGCAAGAACAGCAATTTGCTGTAACGATGAGAGGAAAGGAAAAAGGCCGCGGTGGCAGCAACGCCAGAGGTGAAAAGCCGCAGCGGCGGCAGGGAAAGGTAATGCACCGCAAGAACAGCAATTTGCTGTAACGATGAGAGGAAAGGAAAAAGGCCGCGGTGGCAGCAATCCCAGAGGTGAAAAGCCGCAGCGGCGGCAGGTGAGGGAAATGCACCGCAAGAACAGCACAAAGGCTGTAATGCCAGATGTGACGGCGACAGCGAGGTGGTGACGAGAAGGCTACGGTGAGAAGGCGACAGCACGAGACGGCGAGGCGGCCGACGGCGAGGCGGCCGACGGCGAGATGGCCGACGGCGAGGCGGCCGACGGCAAAGCGGCCGACGGCGAGGCGGCCGACGGCGAGGCGGCCGACGGCGAGGCGGCCGACGGCGAGGCGGCCTACGGCGAGGCGGCCGACGGCGAGGCGGCTGACGGCGAGGCGGCCGACGGCAAAGCGGCCGACGGCGAGGCGGCCGACGGCGAGGCGGCCGACGGCAAAGCGGCCGACGGCGAGGCGGCCGACGGCGAGGCGGCCGTCGGTGAGGCGGCCGACGGCGAGGCGGCCGACGGCGAGGCGGCCTACGGCGAGGCGGCCTACGGCGAGGCAGCCGACGGCGAGGCGGCCGACGGCGAGGCGGCCGACGGCGAGGCGGCCGACGGCGAGGCGGCCGACGGCAAAGCGGCCGACGGCGAGATGCTGACGTAAGTCCTCGCCCAGGCTCGCTCAGACCGGCGGGGGGATCGGGCGGGAGGTGGGCGGGGAAATACACACACACACGCTGT